CCTTCCCAGTCTAGACTGGGTTTAACTTCATTCTCTAGGCCCTTCTAATTTCCAGTTTATGTGAATTGGATTACTTGCTAATGAATTTCATTTAAATGCCTTGCAAGTGAAATGGTGCTGCAGCACTGCTCTCCCTCCTTCCCATTGGTGCCAGCTGATTGGTATTGACGAGATTACTGGGGTACATTATGGGTTTTTAATGGAGCTGCTTGACTTGGTTTCCTCTCCAGCAGTTCAGCTTCCTTCCCTTTCAGTGGGCTATGAGCTATTTTCTATGATTGCCTCCATTTTTTGACTTACAGAAATTGGTGTTTAAACTTCTGCAGTATTCTTTTGCTCTGCCCGGCTTGTCCTTTCCCATTGCACAGTGAATCATGTTTCTGTGGGTTTACAGTGAGTGGTTTCTGTATCTGGATGAACTTTTCTCCAGAATAGTGATGTCTGCTTGCCCAGTCCTTATTCTTTATCCCCTCAGATGCCCTTTGTTTTAGCAGTTGGTTCACATATGTCCATAGACATACAGGTGCTTCTTCTGTGTAAGAGTATTCCTGAAGTGTGGAAAGTAGTGCAGCTTTAATGTGATGTGAATGTACAAGTTAAGCATTTCATCTTTGCAACATCTGGAAAGTCAACTTACATCAGGTTTTTCTGTATTTCTGATGGAATAAAGATAAAAGAACAGAGATCAGGAAATAAAAATTTCTCAGTTGACAGAGAACTGTTTCAGGTAGAGTTTAGGAATTTGTGTGGCTTTGTCTCTGGGCAGGTCTTAGATACTTTCCGTGCTTCTGATGAGGCTTCTTGTAAAACATCCTCGCCCATGCCGTGCTCCCAGAGTGAAGTACTGGAGCAGTCTGTGCATGTTATTTTGTCACCAGGAGCTCTATTGCTACCTACCAGTTTCAAGTAATGACAGTTTTTAACGACGTCTTGTGTGTGGTGCTGATTTCCCCTACACACACTTGTACGTGTTTCTTTCTCCTGAATTTTCCGAGCTGGTATTTGTCTCAGTTTAGCTTCTCTGTCAGATCTGAAAAGCAGATGTTGTTGTAGACGTGCTGAATTGCGTAAAAAAAATTGCCATACATCACTGTGGAATTGTGATTAAAAGAAATAACTTTGGTTTTCTCTGTTTATGTTCCAGGCACAGCAGTGGTAGAATCACCATTAGCTTTGTATGTGCCTATTAACCAAATGAAAGGAAGGATTCAATGGAGTGATTAGTTTTCAATTTAGGCTTTTAAAATTATTGTCTCATGCTTTTTGCAGCCTAGTTACTGAGGGGAATATCCAGGATTTGGTTATTTTTAATTCTGTTTTGATTGGGACACTTTTTCCAGATACTGAATCGAGATAAAAGCAGGATACTCAAGGATAATTTAGAAGACAAGATACTGTGTCCCTAGAAGGCTTTTGTGATTCGGAAAGCATGACATCTAATGACTAAATTTATTTGTTAGAGCTCAAATAGCACCAAAATCTCAGAAAGTAGTATAAACAGTGTGATCCTAAGAGGATTAGAAAAAAAAGCACAAGTGCACAAGTTCACATGGGGAACAGGAGCAATTCAAAGCTCACACAAAAAACATTGGTTTAGCTGTAACACAAATGCAGTGTGATGTCTGGGAAGGAGAAAGCAGCACCAATAGCAGCATTTCTGGAAGGAAATGGTTAAACATTTCTGCAAGTAGCATTTAAGCTGTGCCAAGGAAAATACAGATTGGATATTAGGAAAAAGTTTTTTACAGAAAGGATGATAAAATGTTGGAATGGTTTTCCTAAGGAGGTGGTGGAGTCACCATCTCTGGATGTGTTTAAAAGAAGACTGGATGTGGCACTCGGTGCCATGGTCTAGTTGAGTTGTCAGGGCTGGGCTGGACTTAGTCTTGAAGGTCTCTTCCAACCTAGAGGTTCTGTGATTTAGAGAAATCCTTGCTTTGAACTGATCATGTTTGGAAACAGGTAAGGACTAACATCAGTGTACATGTGGTCTGTGTGTTTATAACCAGATCTGTCACTGGGTTGGTGCCAGTGTTGATTTTATCCTTTGTACCACACGATTATTGCTTGGTTGCTAGCAGCAGATCTGTGCAAGCAGCCTGGACAGGTATTTGCTGCTTTGGTGAAGGTGATTTGGTGTGTTAGTTTTGGCCCTGTGGGCGGGAGCTGCCTGGCTCATGCAAGCTGGGTTTAAGGCCTGGAGCGTGGCTGGTCTCTGTACCCCACAGCAGGATAGGATGCTCCTCACAGGGAGAGGATGCTGTACTGAGTGCTTGGCCCCAAACCTCAGAGGGACACGGGCATCAGGTGTGTCATTTTATGCAGAAAAAAGTGGTGTGGGCAGGGCTGGTAAGCACTGGCTCTGAGCACACGTGTGCCAGTGCACACATGGCAAAATCATCTTTCTTGTCAAGTTGAGGGGAGCAGTTTTCAGCTGATTTTGAGCACGTTAGTTATCCGGCAGTGGTGAGCCATTCCCAACCCCTCCAAGCTGAAGGATCCAAACTCACAAGCTGCTGTTGCATTCCCCAGGTGTGCCTTAGCAACTTAAAGGGCATCTGGTGGATTATTTTTAAGTGTCACGTAGTATAGCTGTTACTACATCTGGGCACCTGTTTAAATCACTGTAATGTGTTGGAATATAAAGGTGAGAGATAGTCTGAAATCAATAAAGTATAACTGTCACCTGCATTGTTTCAAGGTACATGCCAAAATCCAATAAGATAAATTTGGAAAGAAAAAAAGCTGCTGATGATGCATTTGTACTCAGCAATTGATTCTGAAGAAGGACATTGCCGTTTTCTTAATGTTTACACGTCTCTTCAAGCGCCCTTATTTAAAACTGGAGCCTACAACCAATTGAGTGAGGAATGAAGCAAAGTCAGTGAACCCTTTCTTTTCTCATTCTGTGCTCTCTTGAGTCTTTGCTTCCAGCTTCTTTCCGTGTCACTGCCCTGTTTAGATGTGAAGCAAAGGACAAGAAGCCTCTTCCACGGATCAGGCAGAAAGGTTTCCCTCTCTGGCTTCGATGATAAGTACTGCACTCGAGATTGCACAAGGGCAAAGAGGCGTTGGAAGGAGACAGTTTGGGCAGTGTGTACTGAAGAAAGCCTTTTTTTCTTGAAGAAAATGGTTTATGTTTCTGCAGTCATCCCTTTATTTATGTTTGCAGTGTTCCTTCCCAAATGGAATAACCCAAACCAAGCGTCGCACTCAGAACAGGGTAACAGGGCCATCCTCTGCCTTTCTCTGCACACAGCTTTTATCATGATTTAGACTGTTCTCAAAAGAATATTGGTCAGCTGTTGTTTTATTCTGTTTTTCAGGAAAACACTTGTTATAAGAAAATAATGTTTTATGGGGTCTGCAGATAGGGTGTTATGGCTTTCTGTTCTCACCTGGTCAGCAGCTCCAGCCCTGGAAAAAAACCTTTCTCAGTAGCATTGCATAGGATACTGTACCTCTCAAGGAGTGGAGTTTCACTCAGCCTATTTACATATTTTCTGCAGCACTGGTCCAACTAAGCAAAGAAATAAGAGCATGTTTGCAAATTCTTTCAATTCCCAGCATTCCTTCATTCCTCAGCATCCTCTGCAGTGCCTCTTGCTTGCACAGTGAAGGTGATGTTTCTGCCTGTCTTGTGGGATCTTCTAAGAATAAAAGAAGCCCAAATGCTGCAGCTTTTTTCTTTTTTTTTCTTTTTCTTTTTTTTTTTTTTTTCTTGGGCTGGGTCCAAAAATGGGTCTGTAATGAATGTTCTTCCTGCTGGTTGAGCTTGAAAAATTGCACGTGAGAACCTTGTGTTGATCATGAGTCCCACAAACTATAGTTACTCTTTACTCATAGTAAAAGTTTATTGACCACAGGTTGCTTGGTAAAGAATTTAATCTAAAAATAGTCTGGTAATACTTCATTAGTCACCCATGTCCATCTGTCACCCTTCCTGCTCTTTGAGTGGGTGATTAGGTTATGTCCTAAAGAAAAGTTGTCTGGTAAGTATTTGTATGGAGGACAACCACTCAGGAATATTAGTGTGGATAAAAATCCTTTGTCACTGCTGAATAAAAATTAATGTTGCAGTGGATGGAGTTACCTCATATTTGGATGTCAAAAGCTGTGTGCTTATACTTGTAGTTATTTTATTGTTGGGTGCATAAAATTATTATATATAGTGTAAAGAAAATTACTAAAATGTAGGAGAGTGTGGATTTGTTTGGATTATGTTTTTGTTTGGGTTTTAAAGGTAGGCAAGATTTCTCTTGAATTTTGCACTAGGAAGATTTCTGTTGTTTACATGTTGTCAAGTGTTGCTAGCAATTACTGTGAACTTGGGGGTTTTTTAAAATTACTGAGGTCACTACTGGAGTTGGTAACTCTTCAGGCTCGTGTATACACCTGTGTGTATAAATTGAGTTATTTAGTGCAAGATGTGTTAGGAAAACAGATTTATTTTTCTTCTGCTGCTTCACAGTGGATGTAACGATTTTGAAAGTCATACCACTGGAATGTTGAGTTTGTTTGGGGCTTTTCAGAGTGTTTAGATGTTGGTTGCTGTGGTTTATTTCCAGAAGAAACTTAGCATGGGCAGGTGATACTGTGAGTTGCCTAGTTGCCTTCCTGAAGCTTTTTGCAGAGAGCTGAAGCAAAATACAGACACCAGGATGTTTCCACCCACGTTGTTGTGCGTGTGTGCTCTTGCTGAGCGGGTCCAGGAGGTGCAAGTGTTCATCCAGCAGCAGGTTTTGTTCAGAGGTCTGTGTGCTCCCTTCAGAGCCAGCTCTGGGATGTGGGGATGACAGGATATGTGCAAAGCTCCAGCTCTGTGCTGTGCTCTCTGCTCTGGGCTCCGAGCAAAGGCAGTGGGAACGCTCAGCTCCGGGAACTGAGCAGGCTGGGAGAGCCAGGAAGGTTAAATGATAACATCTAACTGTGTGTTAACAACACTTCTCAAAATAATAAATACTAACATTTCCTATTTTGTCTCCTTATTTCCCTGTCAGCATCACCCTTCTGTGGCAAGAGGCACCCGAAAGGAAAACAAACTTCTGCATATCAATGCACTGCCAATGGTAAGTACCTTTTTAACTGACTAAAGGTGGTGTGGTTTCTCTCTGCACACATGCCATTAGCAGGCTTACACTGCAAATAGTACTTTTACAATAACTACTTTTTAGTATTTAAGTGGATTATTTTATTTTTTTAAGGAACATCTAGACCATTGTGCTGTTTGACAATATATTAGAATTGCACTTGGCTTTTATCCTATGGAAAGCAGGCAGCATGTCAATTTTCATGTGAGAAGTGTGACTTGACAGTAACATAGCTCATCCTGTTGGTAACTGGTGTTGCTTCCTCTTTTGGCCAAGAGCCTGTTTGGGGTGAGCTGTAGCCAGGCCAGGTGTTCTGTTGCCCCCACTTGGGTGCTCTCTGCAGTTTGTTTCAACCAAAATCGGCTCTGCGTTGTCAGGTGTATTTTACTTAGCTCATTTGTCAGTGTAAGACCAGTGAAGTTAAAATCTTAGCTTCTGTAGAAAGGGACAATCTTCTTATTCCACCTCTGGAATGTTGCAAATTCATATTTTCAGGCTGTCCTTATGGGGTTTGCTGGTGCTTCCTGATCGCTGTGCAGATGGAAAGCAGAGCTGGGGCCTGAAGGGAAGGGCTGCAACTTACTGCTTCAGCTTTGATCAAACAACCTCTTTTTAGCAGTTTTGGTACCTTATGTTGTCACAGTTGATGTGTACCTATAGCATTAGGCTTGAGAATTAAATGCATAAAGTGAGTTCTGTATTTGAAGCATCTCCAGATCATTGTGCTCAGTACAGAAATTAAAGGGGTAATATTTTGAACCGCTTGCTTTGAAAACTCAGTTTTGGATCTGAGAGCTGAGCTGGTTTCCTTTGGCTTGCATGTGGAAATGGATCTAAAGAATATGTAAATCAAATACAGCCTTGCTTACACCTTTGCAACTCCACCATCTTTGCCCTGTGAGGAAAATGATGCTCAAAGAGAGGTTGCTTGGATGTAACTCCTTTACTTTGAGGTAGTAAGCAATTCTGTTAACTCCCAAAGACATCATGAATGGAAATGTAATATATCTGTCACAAAGTAAAGCAAATATACCTCTGAAATCAGAAGATCTGCACAAAGCATATATGTTGTTTAACAGTCTGGTTTTTTAGGTACAGAGTTGATATGAGTAGAGTTTTTATTAATTTGGGATGAACCTCAGCTGATGAATTTGTTGAGTGAGAAAGAATAGAGTTTACCTGGTCAGTCAGACTGGTATTTTAACTTCTCATTCCTGAAATGACCAGTGCTCTCAGCCTTTTCTAGTATTAAACCTTCATTGTTGTTGTTGACCTTTTTCCAGCAAAAAGCTACTCTGTTTTCTTTTTATTTTGTAGTGGTTGAGTGTTATTTTAGTTATGATTTAAGATACTTATCTGCCTCTCTTAAAAACATGACTCATTTCATATTAACCTAGTCCTTATACTTCATAAAATTTTAAAATACTGTGAGACTGTACTTGAAATTTTACTGCATTTTGTCCTAATTTTCCCCCTACAAATTATATTAGAAATTCAGAATTGCACAGACTCAAGGGCATGTTAGTTGTTACAGTGATCATAAAACATACTCAGCTGTTACTTGTAGTGAAGTACTCCCCACTCTTTTCTTTGAGGGCTGTTCTTGTGCTGTAAGTTGTTATACTTTATTATTCAAGAGATTTCTAAACCATTACTCACCTCTGATTAACTTTGAAATGGTCTGAATGTAGATTTAAGAGACAAGCTAGACACATTTTTACCATCCCCAAAGTAATCGTAACTTAACCTGTACAGTAATAAAAGACTTTTATAGGTTTTCATTATATTTTTCTCTTTGCTGTGTGTAAACAAATTGTAGGCCAGAGGGTGCTGAAGAAAGCAGGTTGTGTACATCTCCCAAACAGGACTTGCTTTAAACATGGTTGCCCATGTTCCCACATATATTTGAGTAAAAAATTAATTTCTGATTCCCTTGAGAAATGGTTGTAGCATTTTTGGTCATGTTTTAATCCTGATTGTCAGTTCCACTTCTTATTGGAAAAAAAAAAAACCAAACAAAATAACAATTTACACATATTCCATCCTCTTCTATTGTTTTCTTAGATTTTCAATTTTCAAGGTAATAAGAAGCAGCTCATTTTTTGCAACATATTATGTTATGATATACATGCATATGTTATGTATATATGTTAACTGATTAACTAAATAGGGTAAAATACTAGGTTTCTCCTTGAAAATTATTGAAGTTGTTGGCAATTCTTTAGAAAATTAAATATTTATATTGTGATACAGCATGGGTGTATTCAGTGGTTGTGAGTTCTCCTTCCCATTCTTCCAGCCAAATTTCATGTTCCTCACAGTGACAAAAAAGATGCAAAGGCTTAATGAAAAAGGCCTGGTAATTGCAGGAAACTAAGTGTCTAATGCTACTTTTCTAGGATTTTGAAGGTTCATTTAGAGGCTGATATCTGGGTACTTAATCTGTGGTCACAAGAGTTAATGAATGTTTCGGAAATAAAAATTTAAAGTCTTGGATCTTTGGTCTAAGCAAAAGATGACATCAGGATTTCAACAAGGGCTTTAGCAAATAAGTTTTCTTTTATATGATGAAATAGGTAGTTTACCCAAGGGAGATTTTTCCACTGTATCTTGCAAGGCTTTTTTGTAAGTTTTGGAAGCAAACCAATTTGCCTTTCTGCCTTTGGAAGTCACTGAAGCAGGTTTATGTGTGCACGTAAATATGTGTGGGAATATAGGAGTGTATTATCTGTGCATGTATTAATACACACATAGAGTGGTATATCTAAATTTAGAAATGCAGAATGCACTGTGCAAAGCCCAGGAACTTACAGAAAGGTGGGAGCTACCAGTTTGTGACTGTGTATGGCAGCTTGCTGGGATGGGTTTGATTTTGCAGAGGTAACCAGAAGGGGCTGTGAAGGACTCATCTGGGCAGTGTGGTGACCTTCGTACAGGCATCCTGGAAAACACTGGTGTTGGGATTCTGAACCATTCCACAGGCAGTTTGACAAAGAGTGGCACCCTGATCAGTTAAAAAGGTCTCATGCAGAAGAGAATAGAGGATGTTATTGTTTATTACGAGCTGGCACAGGTGAAGTCTGAGGCTAGGCAGTGAACACCAAGCAAGCAGTGTCATCAACAGCTAAGGCATGTCCTCACAGTCTTGGGGAATACCAAGTAGGTGATTTAAATCCATTCTTTTCAGTGTTGTCTCCTTCTAGGTGAACACATTATACTGTGTTTCGAGGGTGTAACACACCTATTGTGTGTTATGTCAACTGCTCCTACACATCAGAGATGTTACAGAGCAGCTCTGCAGGCACTGAGTCTCTTGGGCCAGGAAATTCCATGGGTGCAACATTTCAGCGTAATTACCTATGCAGGGCATTTAGCTAAGATACAGTAGGAAGGCTTGGAGAACCTGGAGAGAATGAATAAGTCACTCCAAAGTGAAGGGACTGGAAGGTGTCTGCAAAAATTTCCCCAAGACTGCAGCAAATTGTTTTTAATTTGAATGCCTCTGTGGTACCTTCAGGTAATCCTGTGACCTTACCACTCCTTAGAAAACAGGTGAATGAATAAATGGATATAGCTATTAACCCATGCTTCCCCAGCAGCTAAACCCATCCAAACACTGATCTGCCAGGCTGTTATGTTAAAATGCTTCCATGCAAAGGAAGACAACCAAGGGAGGGGATATGAGCTGGAGTTTGGTGTGGAAGCCTTGTCTCTGCTGGCACCTGCCAAGGACAGCTGGAGGTCTGTGCAGCTAGCTCCAAGGTTTTTGCACTGGAATTGCAAAACTGGCTTTGTTTCAAGAGGAGCTGAATGGCATCTCTCAACTATAGATATATAAAATGGGTATCTGCAGATGAGCAGCTCTTCGTAAGGTGGTGGAGCTGAAGGTCGGTTGCCATTATACTGCAAACAGGCACCCCTGCTTTCCAGAGTTTATGAAATTTGACACTACTAAAGATGTTGCCCTCAAGAGCCTAGAATAATTGAGTCAAAATAAATAACTCTGCAAGACTAAGGCCCTCATTCTATGAAATACAAATGCATGTGCGCACATGTAACTTTTAGTGTAGGAGTAGTTCTTCTGAGATATAAATAAGGAGCACTTGCATGCATAAAGCTAACCAAGCTTGAAAGCACTTTGAACAGTAGGGCCTAAAAGTGCTCATGAAATTTATTGTTGAGGCTGTTGGTTGTTCAGTTTATGGAGTGCAGCCTTAAAAGGAAAAAAAAAATAAAAATATTTATTTCAAGCAAGTTCTGAAATTGTCTAAAATATCCAACAGCATGAAATTTTGGACTGTTTTGCTCCCTCTGAAATCAGTGAATGCTATTATCAATGAAGGAAGGTGAAGTGCAGTGTATTTTGTGATAATTTGTTGTGGCTAAACAATTACATTTCAAAATGTTCATACATCAGTTCTATTTACTGGATCAGCATGAATTAGCTAATGTAGTGGTTTATGTGTGGAAGAGGAAATACTACTAATAACATGATATAATAAAAAAAGTTGCTTTGTGTGGTAGGGTGCAAACTGTGATAAGCATTAAAAATTGTATGTACACTATTCTGAATAATTTTTTGAAGAGTTTTTGAATTTTCTGTTTCTTTACAGAGAGCAAGTTAAGCAAGATCCCTTTCTGACTGAGAGGAAAACACCCCTTTTCTCCTTTTTCTGCCATTAAAGTTCACCACTGAATGAATAAACTGAAACGGAAATGAGTGTCCTTTAAAAAAATTTAAGTGTTGGCTCTGTTTTGAAGTAGCATTTGTCAGAGAAATTTCTCTGCTGTTTCTCTAAGCATTTTACAGTTCAAAAATAAGCTTTGACTAAGAATTCTCGGCAAAATCATAAATATGTAATTATGTAAGCAGCCAGGATATTTAGCCCCTGGCAGGTGCCCAGTGCAGTGCAAGAGCAAAGGGAACTGGGCCAGTATCTCAAGCTACAAGAACATCTTCCAAAACAGGGTGAGGGCCA